AAAATATACATATAATATGTTAAAATATAAAAATGTTCGATTTTATGTAAAATATATTAATAAAAAATTTAAAATAAATATATTTTGCATTATAAGCAATTTAATTTGCATATTAACAAATAAATAAAGTAAAACATTAAAAAATATATAATTGTATGACTTTAATCCGTTTCTTTTAAGAACTGTGAAGGCACATAACAACACACTTTTAGTTCTAAAGAACAATGTTTGACCAACTAAAAGATGTGTGTTAAAGGGGTCATATGATGCTTTTTTAAAGATCATTATTTTGTGTATTTGGTGTAACAGAATATGTTGACATGCTTTAATGTTCAAAAAACACATTATTTTTCAAATACTGTACATTATTGTAGGTCTTCTATGCCCCGCCTCTCTCAAACGCTTCGTTTTCTACAAAGCCCCCTCCTTTAGTTTTGTAAAAATCGACGCGTTTCAAAAAGGCAGGGCATAGAGGAGAAACAATAATGTACAGTGTGTGGAAAATAATGTGTTTTTTTAACTTTAAACCGCATAAACACATTTCATTACACCAAATACACAAAATAATGTTCTTTTTAGCAGCATCATATGACCCCTTTAAAGGAATAGATAAGGGAAAAACAAAAACGGGAGTGAAAAAAAATAAATAAATAAAATAAAATAAATAAAAAAATAAAAAATTATAAAATGAAATTAAATTAAACTAAATTAAATTAAATTACCTATCCAGGTTTTCTAGTACCTATGTTAGGTAAAGGAGAAAAAAATACATATATTTTCTAAGAATCACAACCTAAATCTCTCAGCATAACAGCATATGGGTTTGGAATAATATAAGGGTATTTATAATGACATTTTTCATTTTCGGGTGAGCTATCCCTTTAGGTTTGTTAAAGCCTATACAGTTCTAAAGCATAACTATGGCCAGTAGGTTGCACACTCATGTGATTTAGATGTTCCATGTTCAGGATACAATGGGGTCCTGTCACGAATCCGGTCCATGAACTTCCATCTGCTAGCCATCAGAGGTCACCCTTTCCAATTTCATTGACTCTCGCACACACACTGTTGCACATCACCCCGGACTACATATCCCATCATTCATTGCACTGATTGCACTCAGCACGGATTGGAAAGGAAAACTTGAAATCGCATCATATGACCCCTTTAAAAGTTGTCTATTCCTAACACATTCTTATATGAATCCGCATTGGTCTGACCTCATTTGGCCTTGGCGATCGCTGAACTCCATACGGGGAAGGACGACCCCAGGACTTGAATGGACAACAACAGGCATCCGGTAGTCTAGGTAGGCTGTCTGTAACCACCAGTCAGAGAGCTAGCAGTGGAAATTATAGAGAGACAATGCGACATAAGAAGAAGCCCTTTAAAAGAGCTAGTGTGGCCGATCACATTGGGCTTCTGTCAAAGCATCACCTAACAAGTTATTACCCAGTTCTCCATCTTCTTCGCTCGCTGTTCCAGACCCTTCTGAAGTCTCTCTCCAACACCGCCCGGCTTCTGAAACTCCTCCAGCAGTTTCCTGGTGTGATTCAGCTCCTCCGGGTCCATGATGGGGGTCAGGGCAGCCAGATAGTGTTCGCATGTTTGTTGCAGTGGTGGCACTGGAAGCTTAGGCAGACCCTCCTGGTGGGCCAAGTAGCGACCAGCGATCCGTGTCACTGACACTGGCTTTACCAGGCTGGAGGGTTTCACCATGCCAGCCTTGACCTAAAAATTGTATTACATCTTAGATAATAAAGATACATAGATAATACATTGGTCATTGGCATTGGTCTCTGTCAATATGTTTTGAAGACATTATCATATTAGTACCCAAAAGTAGTCCTAATAATTTACACAAAATGCACATTAACAAGCTAATATAGCCCAACGTTTATAAATAACTGGAAATGTTATGTGTAGTGTAGCACTCAAATATAAAACACATGAGTCAGCATTTGGGCTGTCATTAAAAAAACTAAAGAGCTTTATTAGAGACCATTTACACATTCACACGATGTGTTAAGTACCTGCATTAAGTATTTAAGCAACTGTCAGTGAACACTGTTTCTATCACTGCCATGAACTGTGTCTGCACTTCCTACTGTCCTTAGCACTACCGCTACCTAACCATAAACATTCTGAATGTCAGTAATACCCGCCGCTCAGGCTGACAGCTAACGTTATCCTTGTTTATGTCAAATAAAAGATCAGACTATGTTTAAAAACCCGGCCATATGCATTGGTTACTCACCATCGTCCTGGCAAGAATGCCCAACATAACTGAAGTTCACTAAAACGCCCCCAAATCAAGCCTGAGAGGAGGGACAGAAACGACCAGTTGCGGTCAGAGTCCACGGAGCGAGCGCTGCAGAAACACCCTGAGCGCCATCACTGCTGCGCTGCTCGGCGTCACCGCTAGACGGCGCGCGCGCGTCACAAAACACACTCCAAGCCCAGCCCCCTTTCGCATCCTCATTCTGCTGAACGATCGAGTTCTCAATAATCTCAGACATTTTATTGATGAAAATAAAGAAGGTAGTCTTTAATCTTCTAATTAATTAAAAACCAAATTTGCAGACTCCAAGGTCCAGAATTTTTACTGTTCCATAACAACGCAACACTATATGTACTTATATTGTACGTATACTGCATGTACATACTAAATAATAATACATCACAAAAAACAAAAATTATAATTTCTAAATATTAAAATAAAAGAAATCCACTGATAATTATTACATAGTTAAGAATACGTCTTATGATTCCTTAAAATTAAATCGTGAAATTAAAGTCTACATTTACATATTACGCATGTTACAAATCATACGATAGTCGCAGTAACATTTTCTCACAGCAATTTACATTCGCTGATCAAGTCTTTTAAAAAATGTTTTACGCGAAACTGCGGGTGAGGGTTGAAGGGTCGTGTTTTCATGTTCACAGTAAACATGGCGGAGACTGAGCAGTCGTCAGGTAACTCACATCAATCAAATCTTCATTTAAACACGGATAATTCAAAAGCGACGATACCAGTGATACATCTGCAGATTATATATGTTGTCGTTCAACATCTGAAGGGGGGAAAGGGATGTGCATATGTGCAGGAAAAACGCTTAATTGTGGGCTCACCGCGTCTCATGTAATGAATCGATGAGTCTGACAGCTCTGCGCTGTGGCGCATATATAGTTTATTACGCTTTGTCTGCGAACAGACGACTCGATATTAGTATTTATTTGCAGTATTAGTGTACTTGCAATGCTGTTTAAAATATATTTTACTCAGAGTAATGAACATAGCGGAGGAACAAATTTAGTTTCAAACTTAGTTGGGTAACCTATCTTTACCATAGGAACTTGTCAGCTTTAGAAATAGTGTGTCGCTTGTTGTTATATTCTGATGTTTGTGAATAATGGGATGAGGAAAAGTTTCTTTTCTAATGTGTATTCTGGGAGCAAACTTTGCATATAAATGTTATTTATTATTTTTGGTAAGAAAACTAGGAACAGGTCCTCTTTAGGACAGTAATATGAGTTCATAGGTTTTCTGATCAGAACCAACTGACGTTTAGGCTCAGACTTCTATAATATCGGTGGACTTTAGGATATGAAAGAAACCCCTTTGTGTAAGGAAATTATCATAAGGGTGTGTGGATGAAGTAGAAATATATGTATGCAAACAAATTAAAATTAAGTCAGTTGGTATGCTAAAAAATGTCAAACCACAGAACGTTGTGTTTAGACATTGTTATATGTTTATTTTGATATTTTTTTACTTTAATGGTACCCCAGCTCTTACTAAAACTTATTTAATCCTTTCTGTCAGATTACCATACAAATGCTGAGAATTATAACCTTATGTTTTGATGATCATTGATATTACTTTTAAATATTTTTTGGGTCTGGATAAATTATTCTTTTCGGACCTGACATGTCCTTCAACAGTATTTAAAAATAAAATATAACCAGTTTGTTAAGTTATAGGAAATTTATAAAGATTTTAGAATTGCAGAATCCACTTTTAACTAAGTTGCTTTTGGTTCTTATTAGTTTAATTATTAGTATTAATATAATTTTAATTTGACACTAAAATTGGATGTGTCCATCATATTTTTCATCTCTTGCACAGGCTCTTCCCATGAGGATGACAAGCCTCCCAATCCTGTCGATTTCAGCTTCATGGTGCCAAAGAAGGAGATCAGCATGGTGCCTGATATGGGCAAATGGAAAAGGTCACAGGTATGTTGTACAACCCACTATGAGAGCAGTTTATCTGCTACTTTGAGAGATGGAAAAATAGGTCATTTTCAGTCTCTTTCCCCAGTATCTCTGGAGTTAAAGATAATGATAGGAATCTTTATTGTTTGACACTTTTTCTAGTGTGGCTTGTTGCAGCAGCAGCACCATTACATCTTAAAGAGACAGTTCTAAAAAATAAAATTCATAAGAACCTCTGCATTTATTATTCCTATTAAAGATGTAAATAAATACAAAAATGAAAATTTCTGGTCTATAAAGAGCTGTTTTATTGTTATATTGAGGGCAGTCTTAACATTCATTAAACCCCACGTTGCTTGCATCTGAGCATGTTTCTGTTTTGTGTAAGTAGGCATATGCTGACTACATAGGATTCATTCTGACCCTGAATGAGGGTGTGAAGGGAAAGAAACTTACATGTGAATACCAGGTGTCTGAGGTGGGTCACTGTCCTGCTTTTCTCTATACTGCTGTATGTTGATCTGTATGTAATAGATTAAGTAATTGGTGAAAAATGTTTTGATCATGATAATGCAGGTTCATGGATCAGCTCATAGAAACGTGCTTGTATGCTTTTCTTTGCTATTAGACAGTGGAGAAGTTGCTTGCTATGTTGGGAACATTAGATCGCTGGATCGATGAGACGCCACCAGTAGACCAGCCTTCTCGCTTCGGCAATAAAGCTTACCGCACATGGTATGCTAAACTAGACCAGGTAAGCGCTTCTGTATGAAATCAAAATGGCCTTCTACGTATATGACCAGTGTTTACCTTTATACTGCTTTAATGTGCTTTGGAATCAGTTCTTGGCCAAGCATTGCCAGTAACTTTAAGCATACAGTGCCTTCAGAAAATATTCACCATCCATTTGATTATTTCTTCTTCTGTTGTGTTTCTTCAAATTAAAACTGATTTTGTTTTAGTGCAGTATTTGAATGAGATGATTGGTTAAGGTGAATATTTTTTGATAGCAATGTGTCATTTCTGTGCTGTTCGTATGAGGTGAAATGCTGTAACAGTGTTTTGTGTGTGCAGGAAGCAGAGGCTCTGGTCACAGCCATTCTGCCATCAGAGCGTCATGATGCTGCTCCAGAGATAGCAGTCTACCTGAAAGAGTCTGTGGGCAACTCCACCAGGATTGACTACGGCACAGGTCTGTGTGGCTACACAAGAATAAAGGATTATTTTATTTATTATATGTTTGTGCATGTGTGTTTCTCCATAGTTGTCTTTGAAGAGAAATTATATCTTTTCACACTTTTATCTATTACTCCTTAATAAATTCAACTGTCACATCAGAGAGAATAATAAAGGCAAAACATGAACTACTACAGATTTTTACTTTTAAAACATCAGCTATATTGATTCTTTTCACAGACTGTCATGATGGGTTTCCACAGTTAAGTTTTTTTGTATTAAAATTTTTTTTTAAAGTGTATGTACATTTATAACACTATACTTTGTGTCATGTTACATTGGCAGTCCTGCTTTTCTCTATACTGCTGTATGTTGATCTGTATGTAATAGATTAAGTAATTGGTGAAAAATGTTTTGATCATGATAATGCAGGTTCATGGATCAGCTCATAGAAACGTGCTTGTATGCTTTTCTTTGCTATTAGACAGTGGAGAAGTTGCTTGCTATGTTGGGAACATTAGATCGCTGGATCGATGAGACGCCACCAGTAGACCAGCCTTCTCGCTTCGGCAATAAAGCTTACCGCACATGGTATGCTAAACTAGACCAGGTAAGCGCTTCTGTATGAAATCAAAATGGCCTTCTACGTATATGACCAGTGTTTACCTTTATACTGCTTTAATGTGCTTTGGAATCAGTTCTTGGCCAAGCATTGCCAGTAACTTTAAGCATACAGTGCCTTCAGAAAATATTCACCATCCATTTGATTATTTCGTCTTCTGTTGTGTTTGTCCAAATTAAAACTGAATTTTTCAGTGCAGTATTTGAATGAGGGGAATTGGTTAAGGTGAATACTTTTTATGGCAGTGTATCATTTCTGTGCTGTTGGTTTGAGGTGAAATGATGTAAGAGTGTTTTGTGTGTGCAGGAGGCAGAGGCTTTGGTCACAGCCGTTCTGCCGTCAGAGCGTCATGATGCTGCTCCAGAGATAGCAGTCTACCTGAAAGAGTCTGTGGGCAACTCCACCAGGATTGACTACGGCACAGGTCTGTGTGGCTACACAAGAATAAAGGATTATTTTATTTATTATATGTTTGTGCATGTGTGTTTCTCCATAGTTGTCTTTGAAGAGAAATTATATCTTTTCACACTTTTATCTATTACTCCTTAATAAATTCAACTGTCACATCAGAGAGAATAATAAAGGCAAAACATGAACTACTACAGATTTTTACTTTTAAAACATCAGCTATATTGATTCTTTTCACAGACTGTCATGATGGGTTTCCACAGTTAAGTTTTTTTGTATTAAAATTTTTTTTTAAAGTGTATGTACATTTATAACACTATACTTTGTGTCATGTTACATTGGCATTAAATTAAGACTGGAATACACTACACGACTATTAAAATCTGAACAGACTTTTTAAAAACTGGGCATCATACTTACCGACTTTTGTAATAGTCACAGAGAAAAAACTGGCCATCATACAATAAATGACTGATGATTATACACTACCAGACTTTAAAGTTGTTTTGATCACAACAAACTCATGCAGAAAGATGTACCTTTTTGTTAGGAGACGCGTGACGAATGAAAACAATGTGTGTTCTAAAATCGGCTCAAAATATCAAACATGTTGATATCCTCCGACTGGATGGAATCAAAGTCTGAAGCTAAAAAATCGAAGTCTGTTACCATCAAGCACTACGTGAGATTTTTCTATGAAATCTGACAACTCAAATCTGCAGACTGGCAACTAAATCGGGGCAAAAACTGTGTAGTGTATTCCAGCCTTTACACAAAACTAGTTAACGCAGTTATCTTTACTAGTTATCTTTCTCTCTTCCGACCAGTGCAATCAATCTCTCAATATTTTTTCCTCTTTTGTAGTCATAGAGGCACTATCATGGATTTTTTTCTTTTGTTATCGGAGCAAATGGTAAAAACCGTATTAGCTGTAGTTTCTGTTTATGACTAGAGATGTTTACCAAACTATGATGACTTAAGATTCAGGGAACTCTGCGACTGTGAAAAGGGTCCATAATATACTCATAAGAATATCCAAGTGTATATTTAACGTTGTTCTTCTGAATAATCACTAGAGGGTGCTGTTGAAACACAAAACATCTGGATGCCTTTGAGAGCTTCACATACTTCAGATACTGAACGAGTACAAACCTTAAGTACACACTATACAGTTCTTGTTTCAAATCAAGTCTGAAGTCACACTGATAACTTGTGAGTTTGTAAGTCTTTTTGTGAGAATAATTAAAAGAAACCGTTCATAAGAGTTATTTGTTAATTAAGTTACACTGGTCATGCTATGTTTTTGTGTGTGTGTGTGTGTGTGTGTGTAGTGTAGCCAGCAATGACGATGCAAACAGAAATAGAATTGCCTTGCCATTATTTTGTGGTACAGTGTCATTTAATCTCATCACATTCAATTCAGTCTATAAGCTCACCAATTAGGTTAAATGCTGTGGTGCTCTAGATTCAGCCGTGCAGGAGCCGCTGGTTGCATTATTTAGCATAAGAAGTAACATGTTTCTGTGTTCAGGTCATGAGGCGGCATTTGCTGCGTTCCTCTGCTGTCTTTGTAAGGTGGGAGCTCTGCGCATGGAGGACCAGTTGGCCATCATATTTAAAGTTTTTGACAAGTTAGTGCATCTTCTTATTGCTTGACTTCTTATTTTGAATACTTTGAATCTGTAACTCCCAGCATCTTCACTGAGCACGTCTTCACTTTACTGCACACTAAGTGCCAACAAAACAATTTTGACAATGTATTTTAGGGTTGCATTTTGTGGTTGATGGTGTAAAGCTGTGGAGAACTCATTTGCATCAAGCATTATGATCTGATTGGCGTAGGTATCTGCAAGTGATGCGCAAACTGCAGAAGACGTATAGGATGGAGCCGGCAGGGAGTCAGGGTGTGTGGGGTCTTGACGACTTTCAGTTCCTTCCCTTTATATGGGGGAGCTCACAGCTTATAGGTAATGACTCTTCCTTTGTTGCCCATTTTGGCTCTAATTCTGTAATGTTTATATTTGTATTTCATTTCAGTTTTATTACAGTTTTTAATATTTTTAGTTAACATAAAAAACTCTGTACCTAGAGCAGGGGTGGCCAACGTTAGTCCTGTAGAGTTTTGCTCCAACGTTGATAAAAACTCACCGGCCTGTAGCTTTCTAGTAACCCTTAGACCTTGATTAGCTGGTTCAGGTGTGTTTGATTAGGGCTGGAGCTGAACTCTGCTGGACTGTGGCTCTCCAGGACCGACATTGGCCACTCCTGACTTAGAATTTTTAACTGGCTGAATCCAGGCTCATTGTTGCTTGCAATGGCAAACATGGTGACACCTAGTGGTCACACTGTGTAACTGAACTATGTTTGCTCATCTATTGTGTGTAGACCACCCAACCCTGGAGCCCAGACACTTTGTGGAGGAGAAGGTTGTAAACGAATACCACCAAGACTACATGTTTCTGGAGCTGTAGAGTTTTGCTCCAACTTTGATGAAAACTCACCGGCCTGTAACTTTCTAGTAACCCTTAGACCTTGATTAGCTGGTTCAGGTGTGTTTGATTAGGGCTGGAGCTGAACTCTGCTGGACGGTGGCTCTCCAGGACCGACGTTGGCCACTCCTGACTTAGAATTTTTAACTGGCTGAATCCAGGCTCATTGTTGCTTGCAATGGCAAACATGGTGACACCTAGTGGTCACACTGTGTAACTGAACTATGTTTGCTCATCTATTGTGTGTAGACCACCCAACCCTGGAGCCCAGACACTTTGTGGAGGAGAAGGTTGTAAACGAATACCACCAAGACTACATGTTTCTGGAGTGCATTAAATTCATCAATGAGGTGTGTCATCTGGCATATACTCATGGATAGACCGTTTTTCCTTTCATTTTCATTTAGTTGGGAGGATGAAATTTAGATCACACACAAACAAAAACTCCTCTAAGTTCCATTGATGTAAATACTTACAATATATAGTTTAAAACTCTCTCTCTCTCTCAGGGAGGTTGTGTTTGGACTCCACTCGCATGAGTCATTTCCTTCCTTCCCTGAACGTTGTTGTGAATCACTCCTAAGGCCCCTAGGGCCCACCCCCTCCTTTCTCTTTCTCTTTCCTCTGTTTCTCTCTCTCTCGCTCTCTCTCTCTCCATTCCTCTTTGAGGGGCTAGTAGGTCTCTGGAAAGTCCAGCTTGACGAGAGCTCTGTGTGTGTGTGTGTGTGTGTGTCTGTGTGTGTGTGTGTGTGGAGTAAAGCCACACAGCACTGCCATTCATAAAGTGCTCTTTCCCAAGGGCAGCCCACAAGCCCCTCTCTCATAAACTCTCATGAATAGACTTCATAATACAGTGACATGATGATGACTGTCAAATTACTAATACTACAGATGAGTTCATAGTCTTTTGTTAATATTAAAATATTTCACAATTTTAATGTATTTTGATCAAATAAATGCAGTCTTGTTGAACAAAAGATACTTCTTTCAAATATATACAAAAATCTTACCCACAGCAAACATTTGAACAGTAGTGTATTTTTGATTTCCTCAGCAATCAGAAACATTATTTATTATATAAACTCTTATGAATTTAGATTTTCAGTAGCTTAATTTCTTTAGTTTAGTAGTGTTGCCACTATTTTGCTAATATTAGTGCTAAATTTTGTATATTCATTTGTTTTATAGTAACCGTTATATTTCTATTTTATTTCTACTTTCATAAGTATTGTTAATATTGGTATTTGATTGTTGTTGTTTCACTTATTTTTTTACTGTCTTTGCCCTTTTTCTGAACTGTGGTCAACACAAACGCAAGATTTTTTCTTTTATGCTCCGAATAAAACCAGTTTTTATCTTAGCAACTTTCCACTGGCAGTTAAAAGTGAAATATCTTATTCAAAGTAGAATTGTTGGGTTTCAAATTGTTCCATTAAATCTAGCTTTAATGCTGATTGCACTGCGTATCTTAAGCTTACTATCATCTTAATCACTACATATTTTTCCTCTTTTAGATGAAAACAGGCCCTTTTGCTGAACACTCGAATCAGCTTTGGAACATCAGCGCTGTTCCTTCTTGGTCCAAAGTCAATCAAGGTCTCATACGAATGTATAAAGCAGAAGTAAGTATCATGGTATTTTAAACACTTTTACATATCAGGAGTAAACTTGTGATAGTGACTCCTTATATGTATGTCCTTGTATGTAAATGGTACATTGGTAGTTAGTGCATTAAATCCTGCTTCATCATAACTGAAAAAAATTAATAAACACTCTATTCAGAAAGCAGATTTGCAGGCTACCCACTCACATAGTCAGCATGTGACATTTATAAATGTGTCATTTTAACTGCCAAGCTGTGGATTCAGTCTGTGAAGTTTCAAGACCAGAGCTGAAAGAGTTAACTGAGCAAGCATGTGTTGGAGGGGAAGAACTGGGTGCCCCACCCCCTCCTCCAAAGCCCACATCCTGTGTTGTTGAGAAGGCTGTGCTCCCTCCCCCTTCTCTCCCTTCAGCGCAGGGCGAAGCTGAGGGGCCAGTCTGTCTGCAAATTCCCCTCCTCCTTCCCACTCTCTCTCACCCTGTCTGTCTTTCCCCACCCCCGTATATATCACACTCTCGTTCTCCATCATCCAGGGACTCATGACTGTTACTGATGTCTTTCAAGTTAAATACAAGTTAAAGAGATGTTTTTTTTCTTCTGAATATGAAAGCTGTTCATATGGATGTTATATGTCATGTGGACATGACATACTGTGTATATATATATATATATATATATATATATATATGTGTGTGTGTTATATATAAATTAAATATACATATGTCATAACATATGACATTAAATATATATATGAATTTGATTTTATTTAATTCTGTATCTTAGCGACATTTGAATGTACTTTTGTCTCAATTTTACTATTTTCTACATTGAAATACATGCTGAGAGGTTCCTGCTTCACGTCTCCGTTGGCCTTATGTGTAGTTTGAGGATCCTATACACTTTAAGAGTTTTCCACAGTCCTAGACTTATATTCAGCAGGAATGCATTAAAATGATCAAAAGTGACAGTCAAGATATTCATAGTGTTACAAAAGATTTATTTCAAACAAATGCTGTTCTTTTGAATGTTCTATTTATCAAAGAATCCTGGAAAAATCTTTTTCCTAAAAATATTAAGCACCACAACTGTTTTCAACATTAATAATAATAAGAAATGTTTCTTGAGCACCAGATTAGCATATGAGAATGATTTCTGAAGGATCATGTGACACTGAAGACTGGAGTAATGACTGCTGAAAAAATTAGCTTTGCCATCACAGGAATAAATTACATTTTAAAATATTTTAAAATAGAAAGTTGTTTTAAATTGTAAAAAATATTTCACATTAATTCTGTTTTTGGTTAAATAATTGCAGCCTTATTGAGCATCTTCTTTCAAAAACATTAAAAAACACTTTTGAACAGTAGTGTATGTGGATATAACCTCTGTATATAGTCTTATTCTTTTGGACACCATAGCATTAGACATTTTGAAAGCTAGCAAATCTATTCTCTTGCTGTAAAGTTGATTGATACTAGCAAACTCTTTCTCTGTCATCCTCTCACAGTGTCTAGAAAAATTTCCCGTCATCCAGCATTTCAAGTTTGGCAGCCTGCTCTCCATCCAGCCAGTCAAACCATGAGAGACAAGAAAAAGAATTTGCACCTCATCAGAGAGCACAACCAAAACTCCAAAATTGGACAAAACCGCTTCAGTCCCAGTTAACAAACCTAAATATGCATTCTCATCACCAGAGGTGCTTGGTCTTACTCCTGGAGAGTTCAGTCCCAAACCTGCTCTAATACATCCAACCCTAAAATATTTAAGTAAACCTGAAGACCTAGATTATCAGGTTCAGGGGTATTTGAGTTGAGCTGAACTAAACTCTGCAGGACGGTAGATATAAACAGCCCTGCTCTTCACAATCTACTAGCTGTGCATATGAAATCCCACTTCTGATATTCCTCTTAAGTGACGCAATTAGTCTGTATGGTTTTATTTATCTATTCCCTGCAAGCAGGAAGTTGAACTGCTACTTAGACACCTGCAGTGAGCATTCTCAATGCAGTTATGCACATACATTTTCATCTGGATTGGCATTTATATATATTTATGTGTATATAAAGAAAGATGAATGGTTGAAGGCTTGGTTTTGGTTTAATGGATTCTATTTCCTGTGTGCAAAGATCTGAAGCCAATGAACAGTGTGTGTGTGTGTGTGTGTGTGTGTGTGGTGGGGGGGTGTTTGTGGGTTTATGGAGCATCAGTGTCTCAAAAGGCACTTGTAGTGAACTTCTTGCTGTTCAGTTATCAAAGATTGCTGAGGCATGTGTTCATTGTGAGTGGTTTTGATAAGTGTCATTTTTACCTATGTAAGGCATTAATAAGTTGTCAACCACTTTAGTTTTACATTTTTGGCTGCGCTTGTTTTTTTTCATATTCACGTTACTGAAAATCAGATGAGTAAAATACCAAAAAGACCTTTATAGTTTCTAAACAGCCACATGTAGCTAATACCACAGTCTTCCGTTTGATAAATTAAAGCAATGAATTTGCATCCAGAAAGTTAGCATGATGCTAAATTAGTTAAGTATATTTAATTTCTAAACTTCATTCTGTATAAATGAATGGTTTCAGTTTTCTTCAGAACCAACACAGGAGGGGTAACATTTAAAGAACAGGGTACAGTCTGCATGTTAAAAATTCTGAAATATTGGTGCAAAGCTTTTGTTACTCAAATGCAGCCATTCTTTATCCTGTTAGAACTGGGCAAAGCATCTGTGAACACTTTTACGTCGGCAGAAATATAATTCACAGTGTAAGTTTTATATAGTTCTGCACATTATCGAGAGAGAGGCACATTAAACAGGCCTTTTAGTCCTGGGCTACTTTTTGTTTTAAAGACTTCAGCCTAACAGAACTAACAGACCTGGGCTGCATTTCCTAAATGCTTTGTAGGCCTAAATAGATTGTTGAAACCCTTGGCACCAATGGTTTCTAGTCTATTTAGGATTACAATGATTTTGGGAATTGCAACCAGCGCTTTAAATTAAGATATATAAATTAAAATGACCTTATTGATTATTATAACTAAGGATTTGCTTAAACCGTTTGTTGCAACCAGCCTCATATTTTTAAGTGTAGTCTCAATTTCAAAAGAATAACCATTGTCAAAATCATTACTGTCTTACAACTGGCTTTTTGAGTTTCAGTATTTAATAAAAATGTTGATTTTTGAGATTGAATGGAACTACTTAATAATGGGACATAACACTTACTGTTTATGTGCCCTCTAACCACCGCAATTAAGTTTTAAGTTAATTAATCAGTACATTGTGTCTCTTCTAATTGTACAGAGACTTACCAGAATCGGGGTTATTTTCCTCATCACAATATACAGTTCACAGAAATTTCAAGTAGTTTCAACAGTTTCCTGTTATGTGACATGCTATAATTAATCTAAAACTGTATATAATTCAAATAAAAAGTTCCATTGCCTCATAAAGGGAAAGGGATGTAGGCCAACTGGCAAATTATTATTATTATTTTTAAGTTTATGATTTCAGGGTAAAATGGTCATTAGATTTCAACCTAAAATTGTGATGCTGAATATTTTTTATTATTATTAATAATAATAAAAGCTTTCCATTCGCTTTCCAAATGGGATCTCTGGAACAAGTTTGATTCGACATATTTTTTTTTTTTATCTACACAGTGCTCAACACAGACCTACATGCAGGCCAGGCCAATTCACATTCTGTAGTTTCAGTTGAGTCATTTTCAGTGGTTGCCATATTCAGCATCTGCCCAGTCACTGTCTGTAGTCCAGCCGCCCCATTGTGAAACTCGGCAAGCTTGCTGAGTAATTGACATGAACGCATGTCGAATTTACCCCTCCTCCGTTTCTGTTCAATTGTATTCAGACGCAGGCTCCACTGCTGAGTTCAACAGGCGCAGTTGAGATAAGATAAGATAAGATTAAAGTCGAGCCTTTTGTCTTCATTAACATTTAATATAACCGGTGAGCCCATTTTGGAAGGTGTAAACAAAAGTGTATATATATCACGTCCATGTAGTCCAGCCCATTGTGAAACTCGGCAAGCTTGCTGAGTAATTGACATGAACGCATGTCGAATTTACCCCTCCTCCGTTTCTGTTCAATTGTATTCAGACGCAGGCTCCACTGCTGAGTTCAACAGGCGCAGTTGAGATAAGATAAGATTAAAGTCGAGCCTTTTGTCTTCATTAACATTTAATATAACCGGTGAGCCCATTTTGGAAGGTGTAAACAAAAGTGTATATATATCACGTCCACCTGTTAATGAAACATGTGCTAGGCTATCTATGGCGAATGTTCTTCTGTGTGCGTGTAAAATGAGAAAATCTGCATTCGTTTCGTGCGCGCGCTCTCCATGGTAGCGTTTCCCACGTTGGCCACGCGGAGGAGCTCGCAACACACCACAGACCATGTTGTGCATCGCCTGTCAAAAAACGAATATACAAGCGGTCTTTTTATAAAATAGATTTGGTAACGCTAGCTTAGACAACTTTCCCCTAAAATCAGCCTATTCATTATAAAACAAACGAAAGTCTGAAATATAAAGTTTTAAGCTCATTATATAGCCGACATTAACCTTGTTGAATCATTCAGTTATTTCACTGACGTGTCGTCGCGACACAAACCAAGCTAGATGCAGCCGTACAACATATTTGCACGGTTTTAAACGCTTCGTCATAATGTACTACACAACATACCGCGCGAACGAATTACCTGCGTTTTTAGCGATATTTAAACATGCGCGAGGCAGCTCGTCGAAAATAGCCATGACAACGACCTGATAACAGCCTATGTGTGTTGGACGTTGATGTGTCGGGCGTACTGCGGTATCTCAGATTGAGAGGAGTCGAGAGGTTTCGGCTAGAGATGAGAGAGAGGCACCGGAGAGAGAACAGGGAGGGGAGGGGTGGAGGGGGTTGAAGGGAGAAGCGGATTCGAGGTCAGCCCGAGGTGCCGCTACATAGGCGCTCTAATACCTTCATTCATTGATTTTGAAGAACACCACCATGTGGCATACAGCAGAGATAACACAGTCTACAAGTTTAGCGGGAGTTTCTGGCTAAAAAAGTGCGCGCTCCTTAAAACCATTGCCCGCCAATAGGACGTGACGCGTGTGTCAGGCAAATGTTTGCTTTTAGGCGTCTGATCCTTGCTTCAAACCCCTCGTTTTGAATGTAGGCTTTATTAAATGATACACTTTGTTTTATTCTTTTTATGGTGTGCATATATGTATACTTTCCTTTTCATTCGTTGTTCTATTCTTGGCCTGCAGGTGATAGTTTAATATCCCACAAGGTAATGGCATATATCTAAAATTTGATTTCAGGTGATCCAAACCAATGCTGAGAATATTCATTTAGGAACTTAAATGCACAGTTGTGGCCATTTTGGAGCCACTGAGATCTAGAAATGTTTGCCCTTTAGTTCTGTAGGCTAATATTTGATTAGAAATCTTACTAGCATGTTCTGTTACAGTGAGTATGGAAAATATGGCAAATATAATGAATATGACCTCAATTGTGGATATGGTAGATGAGACCTGCTAAGGATGTTGGATTTTTGCATATAACCTTTCTGTTGTGTTGCTTTGAGTCAAGCTCAATATCATGAGGCCTAAATTTTAAGGCCGCTATAATGAACATTCTTGGTTTATCAAAAAAGAGGCAATGCCAAGTAGGTTTCATTTTTTTATTAAGGTTATAAATTTTAAACAAATACTTTCTAAAACAGTTTTACCCGGTGATATACAATTTAATATGCACAAAAATACAAGAATACCAACAAAATATGGAGAATACGTCTGAAAACGTCTTTAATTCAGTACACATAGTGCTTATATAATGTGAGGACGTATGGCTAATTTATGAGATTGCCTTTTTAGAACAAAAGGTCTAAGTTTGTAGAAAATAAAATCAAACCCACAAAACCAAGCAAATGCTGGCATCATGAATTACTGTGAAGGCTTAAATTTTTTCTGAGTGTAAGGGGGCGGGAAATGGTTAACGCTGGAGACTGGATAGTCAACAAAAATACCTGGCAGATTAAATCACGACGTGCATTGTGGGAGTTGTAGTGTTAATTAATGGCCCCATCGTTCAGTGTTGATGAGGTGACTGGCATAGGCGAACTACAAACACACTCAGAGGAACTGGAGCTGTAGGTCAGTGCAGTCAACAGAACGCACCAGTCCTCGCCACTTTCAACAGCACATTTCAGAATACAGAAAACAACAAACTCCGACAGGGAGGGGGTTCAAATATTGCACCTTCATTAGCCTACTTGATTGCCTTGTATGATGTTACAGAATGTAGTCTGTGTACCCAGTCCTCTTCCTGTAGCTCTACGTTAACGACAGCACGAGCAGCTCAGAGAGTCTTGATGTTGTAGCTTGTTCTACTGGTAAACTGGTAGTCGTTCCGACATTAAAATGTTAGAAAATATGACAAGGCTGCTTAAATTGTTATGTACTGTGTGAGAAATAAGCGTGCAGTGGGTAGGCTTCTCCGTTTGCAGCCTGTTATTCCCAACATTACATGGGTTGTAATGTTATTTTACAATACAGCTTTGTGAAAGTTCATGGGAAGGGAGAGAAAAAAAAAAGAGAAACAATCCACGAGCGAAACATTCAGAGACTTTCCATGTTTGTGGCCATAGCTAGCAGTCTGCGTTAGGTTTAAGGCAACGAAATTCAACTTCGTTTTAAAACGTTTGTTGTAATATCGACATTTTGTTTTAAAGGATACATCACAAGTGGTAGGCTACAACCACTGTCCGCCTCCCCCACTGAAACGAAACTAAAAACAAACCAAAATAAAAACACATAAATAACTTTGCTGCAAAAATAAAAGTCAATTTGTCTTAGACTTTGTACAATTTCATAAAGTATCGGTGTTCGCATCAACCAGAGTCAAAAGGCTACAATAGCTCTCGTCCAAGCCCCTAAACTCGCCAGGGCTTGTTTGCTACAGAACTGTCCGTTTAAGGCTTGCTCCAAGTCCGCTTGTCTGCTCACCAGTCCCGTAAACCCCGAGCCGAAGATCGAGATGAGGTTGGAAATGTTCGACGTGTCCAAGGGCTCCGTGCACGCGTATGAAGAGTCCTCGAATTTCGCTCTTTTGCACGGCGTAAAATCCGGTACCTCCTCGATCTCGGACACGTAGTACCCAAAGTCAAGTTTGCGTTTCTTGGCCGGGCTCTGTGCGCCTTGGCAGCACTGCTGGAGCGAAGCGCAGCAGTCCTGATGCAAATACCCGTTCTCTACTGTGGTAACGACATGCGTGTCCAAATCGAGCACTGTAGTTTTGTTGCAGTGCATGTTGTTTACCGGCGAAAAGTCACAGTTGGACACGGGATAGGGTTCCGCGCAGCAGCTGCGGTAGAACGAGGGGTCCGGCGGTTTGCAGACCTCCTCGCTTTGGAGAGCTAGGGGCACCAAGCAGGCGCTGCTGGGCTGGATGTGCTGCACCGAAGGAGCCTGGTGACTGACGGGCAGGAGCGCACCGCATAGGCTCGCCGACTCGTTCGCGCTGCCGCAGCAGTCCCCCGTCTGCTCCACGCAGTCCTCCACCAGATCGAGCGGGTTCAGCTCCTGGATCTCGTTGCAGACGGTCATCACCTCCTCGTACTGCTGCATCCTGTAGATTTCGGCGTACTTCTCGTTCATGTAGACTTGCCTGGCGTTCCTCAGTACATAGGAGACCAGCAGGTTTTTGTGCAGCTTGATTCCTCCTCTCTGCGTACGGGAGTTGTGGATTTTCCGTAAAGATATCGAAATGAGACTTTGTGCGTCCACTGCACACTCCATGGTGTTGATCATGGTTGGGGTCGTGATGTTTTCCCACCTCTCCGACGAAGGAAACAAACTTTCTTTTAATCAGAATCACGATATTTCGTTCGGGGACGAAGGCTTAAGTCAGCTCTGTGGAGAAACATTGAACGTGGTCGTTTCTGCCTCAACGTGTGAGCGTAGGCAATCATTAGCCTGCGCTTGCTGCCATAGTATATATATGGCGAAGAACTTTCCGCCCACTTCGCCTCCGGCCAATCAGAAGCCGAGAATACCGTTGAGTGACAAGCAAATTCCACCCAGAGGTTTTGATCTCGTCCAGTCACAAAGAGGCGGTTCTTCTGTGCTATTCAAATTCCAAACTGACTTTACCAAACTGGAATGTTCTCATGAGGCGCATTGTACATCCGAGTGCCTGCTCTTGTCATGTGTGCTGGAGAGACTGCTTGAAGGATCTGACACAAATTCACTAAAATCTATTCTTTCATAAGTTAAAAAGTACTAAGCGCTGTAAGTTTAACACAACTGAAAAACACTCTGTATGAGTAATTACAACCTGGCCGTTGAAAAGGTCTGTTTTGGATAATCGATATTTTAAGAACGTTATACTCATTTGCAACTTACATACAAACCGTACCAGCATATGAAACGGTGGTAACGACATGCGTGTCCAAATCGAGCACTGTAGTTTTGTTGCAGTGCATGTTGTTTACCGGCGAAAAGTCACAGTTGGACACGGGATAGGGTTCCGCGCAGCAGCTGCGGTAGAACGAGGGGTCCGGCGATTTGCAGACCTCCTCGCTTTGGAGAGCTAGGGGCACCAAGCAGGCGCTGCTGGGCTGGATGTGCTGCACCGAAGGAGCCTGGTGACTGACGGGCAGGAGCGCACCGCATAGGCTCGCCGACTCGTTCGCGCTGCCGCAGCAGTCCCCCGTCTGCTCCTCGCAGTCCTCCACCAGATCGAGCGGGTTCAGCTCCTGGATCTCGTTGCAGACGGTCATCACCTCCTCGTACTGCTGCATCCTGTAGATTTCGGCGTACTTCTCGTTCATGTAGACTTGCCTGGCGTTCCTCAGTACATAGGAGACCAGCAGGTTTTTGTGCAGCTTGATTCCTCCTCTCTGCGTACGGGAGTTGTGGATTTTCCGTAAAGATATCGAAATGAGACTTTGTGCGTCCACTGCACACTCCATGGTGTTGATCATGGTTGGGGTCGTGATGTTTTCCCACCTCTCCGACGAAGGAAACAAACTTTCTTTTAATCAGAATCACGATATTTCGTTCGGGGACGAAGGCTTAAGTCAGCTCTGTGGAGAAACATTGAACGTGGTCGTTTCTGCCTCAACGTGTGAGCGTAGGCAATCATTAGCCTGCGCTTGCTGCCATAGTATATATATGGCGAAGAACTTTCCGCCCACTTTGCCTCCGGCCAATCAGGGGCCGAGAATATCGTTGAGTGACAAGCAAATCCCACCCAGAGGTTTTGATCTCGTCCAATCACAGAGAGGCGGTTCTTCTGTGCTATTCAAATTCTAAACTTACTTTACCAAACTGGAATGTTCTCATGAGGCGCATTGTACATCGGAGTTCGGAGTGCGTGCTCTTGTCATGTGTGCTGGAGAGACTACTTGAAAGATCTGACACAAATTCACTCAAATCATTTGTTTAGTAAGTTAAAACGTACTAAGCAGCACTGTAACTTTAATACAGCTGACGCTCTGTATGTGTTATTACAATCTCGCCGTTTTTTCAGTCATTTAAACTAAATTTGCTCTGTTTTTGGTCATCAAGATTTTAAAAACATTATACTCATTTGCAACGTAGGTTAAAAACCGTGCCAGCACATGAAACATTTAACTATTGATGATAAATATCTAAGTAAATCTAAATATTTATGTATTTTTATTTTATATAAACGATATGAGAAAAGCATTAATTTAATGGAGGATTCAAACTCAAAGACAGCAAATGTAATTGATGTAATATAAACGATATTATATATACATTACGTATACATTATAGTCTTGAATCTATTGTATTATGTTTCTCTAATTTCTATATAGTTTAGTAAGGTTTATACATACAGTTCAGACTCAATATGCAAGAACATTTTAGTTCTGATTGAAGACATTGTGGACAACACTGATATAATTTCTGAAATGGAGTCAAAAAAGGAAAAGATGACAAATAAAGTTAGCAAGTATTTATTTCAGAACAGATATTCACAGATATATTCATTCACCCTTTTGGACTGTCAGACAGATGTTCATTTCATGCATTGGTTCTAAGCTCAGAGTCAGCTAATTACATCTATTTTTAAACTGCTATGTTTCGGGACAGAAAATATTGTACAAACTTCCACAAAGGACTGTGTCATATAATTTCATCATCTTTATAGAATGTTTCAACCCCAACTTTTTACCTTTGACTCAGTAATATTCTAGAAGAATACATCTGAATGACCCCTCTCTACAGTACTTCAGCCTGCATCTGCCCAATGAAAAAACGGACTGTGTTAAATTGATTTGAATTTTCCAAATATCAGATTCGGTTCTATGAATGTGAAACATTTGCTGCATTCTCTAATTGCTCATTGTGATAGATCACAGCAGTGTTTGAGAAAATCATGCAGATATTCCTGATCAACTCTCTCTCTCTCTCCCTCTCTCTCTCTCTCTCTCTCTCTCTCTCTCTTTCTTTTTCTCTTTCTCTCTTTTCCATCACTACTGTACCGGGGTGTGTAACATCAGGGCTACTTGCGAAGGGTCAATTGCATCAAATAGTTAAAAATCGGACTGCTGTGATTTCAGTCAGTCTAGTTTATATATGAAAATTATTGATTAATGGTTTAGTTCAAGTAATAAAGAAACATTATGTATATAAGCAGACTTTAATGTTGAGATATCTTCTGTAGTTCTAGAGAAAACACAAGTGAGCTTATTGTGAGAAACGAGAAGTAAAAGTTTCCTCTGCATCTAATCTCATTACTAAAGTGTTGAGTTAGTGAAACAACAAAAATTTGATGAAATGAGAAATAAAAAAATAAAGTACCAGACCTAGGATGATATAAAGATGCAATTCCAGATGTTTTCCAAATGTTTAGCAGTGTGAAGGTGAAGTTCTTACGTTTTAGGTTGGTTTTGTAAAGGCATATCCTTTAGGTACAGGTGACTGTTCCCCTTGAGAACAGCTGGTCCTCTGTGTCAGAGAGAACTGAGAACGCCAACTTGGATTCAATGACTGGGCTGTCCACACACACACACACACAGACAGACAGCTCACCTCAGATCTCCAGTGAGTGCTAACGCTTACAGCTCTGCATCTTAAAAAGTCAGGAACACCCAAATCTTCACAATGTTTTGGAAGTAGAAAAATCAATAAACAAGTAACCAACACACACTGCCAAACATAAATGATGAAAAGAGCACAACAGTCATATGTTAAAAGAATGGAACGTCAAAACGAAGTAAAGACACTAACAATTTACAATTTCAAGTGAAGCTTGTCTTATAATATGAGGAAGATGAAAATGTCCTGAATCTGTATCTTGTATCTGATGGAATCTTTACAATGGTAAGAAGTTATATTTATGTACACATTTAGAGCAAAGTTTGGTTGTGTTTGACAGTGGGTTTTGTCATGCAACATTAGTTTCAGAAAAGCTATCCATTAGGTACAGTATGATATGCAATAGTTTTCTGAAGAGATTTAGAAAATTAGCTCTCAATTAATAAAAATAAAAAACTACTGTAATTCAGCACTAAATGATAAGATATATTTTGCACTAAAGAAATACATGCAGGCATATTCAGACTTTGAATAGTGAAAAGCTAATAAATCTGCCACTGCTGAGTCAATTTTGTCCTTTCATGCAACACATTTGTGCAGCGGTGCATTCATGCACTCCATACTATTTGGACACTTAAGACACATTTAAAATGTATGAATGTCATTGCATTATAAAACAAAATATCAAATCAAGTGGCATCTGCAAATGATGCTAGACTGTTTCTCCGATCTAACTTTTCTTTTTTTGCAAGTACTTTTAATCATCTAATCTCAGGGTGATTTTGGTGGATATATGAAGTCAATTCTTCTCAATTTCATAGAGGTGTCCAAGCAGAGTAACCACAGGTGTAGTTCATCATGTTAACCATATGTGATTTTAAAGATTTTAAAATAAGCAGGCTTTCTACCTTTGAAAGAACAGCTGAATTATATCCTGTTGCTTTCCAACTATGCCAAAAAAAGTTTAAGGTACAGAATTCTTCACAGATATTAAGTGACTGCAGACTATTAGTACTAATGCAGGCTAATTTTGTCTAATGGGCCTCTAAACATAGAGCTGAATTAAGATGCCTCACCTCTCATTTAGTGTCATACCATTCTATTATATATTCTCTATTATCGTAACAGTATCTTCAGTGGTGACAATTCTGACACTAACCTTCTCGTTCTTAGCTATCTATCTATCTATCTATCTATCTATCTATCTGTCTATCTATCTATCTGTCTATCTGTCTGTCTGTCATCTTGAGAATGATATGCTGACATTACATGTTGGGGTCAGTCTCAAAATTTGGATCTGCAAACCCTAAACACGAGTGCTTTATCATGAGGAATTGGTAGCATTTTAAACAGTCTCTAAGGGCACTATAGGCTTGCTTTTAACTTTTACAGATTATTCAATTACAAGTTGCTAGGCATTCTCACATTTTTTCAAAGCAAACTCACATTTTGTTCCAAGCGGGTGTGGTAAGAGTGTCACATTCAGTGACTGTAGCTGGTGTAAATGGCCCTATAAAACACTTGTTGGATAATGAATGGAGATTTCAAGATCAATCAATGTAGGTTTCATTATAATTTAAAATTTAAATGTTTTTTTTTTATTTTTTTTTATCATATAGCCTAGAATAGATATAAAAGAAACTCACGTTATTTGTGTATAGATAATGTTGAATGAAAGCTAAGAAAAGTTGTACGGGCAGTATTTTTATTTTTATTTTTTTTCAGACACAAAGTTATGCTTTATTTCTGCTTCACTGGAACGAAGTGAAGCTTATCCATTTATAAAATATCCATCACAAGAACTAAAGATTTTGATGTATTCTAACTTAAAACTAACTTAACTTAAAATTGGTCATTTTTTACTTTAATATTTGTATTACATATGACATTTGGAAACACTTGCTAATTTCTCACCTGAATCTGACCTGAACATTTTCATCTTGGTCGCACATGAACATTTACTTGAAAGACTTCAGATCAAGATTCAAGATTCAAGATTCATATCAAGATGCCTTCTTGCATCTTCATGTAGAACACCAGAATTATAGGTGAGCTTGAGCAGAATGTAATATACAGTAGAGTCTTGTAACTGTTTTTACAGTCACATAAAACATTTATTTACAACACATGTTCTGTTATGTCCTGTAGTCTCATATTAGTAAACAGAAAAAGCATAAACACTTCCCCAGCGACAGTGAATCATCAGTCAATGGTATCTCTCCAGTTGTGATAGAGGTCAGTGGCTATAAACTTCCATCATCAGAAAGAAAATTAATTCTCTTCTAAAAGCTTCGGAGAGAATATAGGATTTACTGTTTTCTTGTTAGTTGAGGTGATCACCTCGTTCTTATTGTATATCATAAGAGATATGATTGCTCCATACAACCTCAATTAAATCCTTCAGTGGGGTCGGAACAAATATGACAAAAACATGCAACAACACTGGAAGTAATATTTGCTGGTTTTAATAACTTACTATGAATGTCATGCGTGGGTAGTCCCTTTCATTTTAATAAAGATCACTAATCCAAGTTATTTTATTTATTTATTGGTCTTTTACCACGAAGATTTGCCATTGACAGTTGTAGCCTATGGATTAAAGAACGTTTCAGACATGTAATTTGGACTATTGAAATACACTTTAATATTGCCATAACCCACTTAAGCCTATTAAACACCTTAATTATTTTAATCATTGTACAAGCACACCTAAGGCAATTTTCAGTTCCTTGCTGCTTCGTCAAATAAGAATAGCTAAAATAAAATCAGAATTCAAAAATAACATTTTCAATGAGCGTAATTCTAAATTAACGTGAGAAAAACTACATTCCCCGGTCTTGAGGCGTCACTGAAGTAGTTTTATCAAAGGAGGAGCATTGTGGGATTTGAAGTGTGATTTGCGTTGCTCAGGACACTCGCGGGCATTCCGGTGGCAGGAGGACCAGTGGGTGAAATATCAGGGCGGAGCTTTCCCCGCTTGGCAGATGGATGCCTTGTGAACTTAAAGGCAAAGTAATCAACTTAACAGAAATCGCAAGATGCAATTTCACAGGGTCGGACGC